TAAGCGGATCCACGAGCATCCTTTCTGTACTTATATGCTCAAGACTTATGACTTGATCCCGGACTTTATCTTTCACAACATAATACTCTATGTCAATGTGTTTGGCAGCACCACTTGACTTATGTTGTGAGCATACTGTACTGCCAGATTATAATCGCAATATAACTTTAGTGGTCTATAGATGTCGTCAACCACCTTCAAACCGGGTATGAACTTCTTTAGCCAGTTCACCTGCCCGTTGCCTCATAACACGCTACAAACCGTCATACATTGTGGATGATGTAGTGACAGTGTGCTTTGAGCTTCTCCATGAAATAGCTCTCCTTTGCGAGATGATAGAAAATTCACGTCTGGATATGTATTCACTCTCGCATAATCAGAATCTGAATATCCCACTATGTGAAATGAATCATATCTTCTATATGTCATCATGAGGCCTTTCGTTCCTTGCAAATAATGCAAGACTTTCTTTACTAATTTTAGTGTTATATTCCAAAATTGCTCTGGAATCTGCCAAGTAAAACCCGGTAACAAATGCCAAGTCAGGGCGCGTACATACTTGAGCATGTTGCAACCTTTCGACAGCTGAAGCATATGGAACCACTTTTACTTTATCGATTGAGCTCATATTGGTTCCTAGGGCATTGAAAATCCCCATATCTGTCGCCCTTGACTATAGGAGCAGGTGAGGGACTACATTTGTGGATACTGAATTTCTTTAAGATCTTTTTCATGTATGCCTTTTGTGATAGTTCTTATACCCTTTTTCTTCTATCTCGGTGAATCTCGATCCCTAGAACGAACGAAGGTTCACCAAGATTTTCATATCAAATTTTGAGGACAAAACTTCTTTGTCTCTTGTAGTAGACTGACATCACTACTAGCAAGTAAGATATCATCCACTTATAGGACAAGGAAGATAAACTTCCTATTCTTAAACTTTGTATAGACACAATTGTCCTCTACATTTTCTTTAAATTGTATAAACACAATTGTCCTCTACATTCTCTTTAAAACCCAAAATTCTTTATCGTCTGATCAAACTTCAAGTGCCACTGTCTTGAAGCATGTTTTAATCCATAAATGGATTTCTTTAGGCGGCATCACATTCATTCTTTTCCTTCCATGACAAAACCTTTCGATTGTGCCATGTAAACATTTTCCTCCAAGTCTCCGTTGAGAAATGTCATCTTTACATCCATTTGATGTAATTCTCAATCGTAATGTGCCACTAATGCCATTATGATTCTGAAGGAAACTTTACATGAGACTGGAGAAAAGGTCTCATTGTAATCAATCTCTTCTCTTTGCATATAGCCTTTTGCCACAAGTCGCGCTTTATATTTCTCTATATTCCCTTGAGAGCCAAGTTTTGTTCTGTAGACCCATTTATAGCCTACTGTTTTGGCTCCTTTAGGAATTATTTTCAAGTCCCAAACTTTATTGTTATTCATTGATTTCATTTCATCTTCCATGGCCTCAAGCCACTTTGATGAATGATCACTTCTCATGGCTTCTTCAAATGAGGTGGGATCATCCTCCATTTGAAATTTCTCAGTGTTGTACACTTCATAATCAGCAGGAATAGCTAATTTTCTAACTCTTTGAGACCTTCTAGGGGCCTCCACATTTGGCACATCTTCTGTTTGAGGCTGTTGTTGCTCCCCCTCATGTGTGGCAATAGGTTCTATAGAATCCTGAAGATCAAGTTCCTCATCGTCATTCATTGTTGCCACAGGTGGGATAACAACAGGTGCTGACACCATAGTATCTTGCACTATCGGTGCAGCGACAACAGGTAGTGAGAAAATTGGCTCATGAATCATTGGAGTGGGCGCATACACCCGCTTCACTTCAAGGTCAATTTCTTGAGCTACCATGCTCCCCCTCATCAGTTCATCCTCTAGGAAGACAGCGTGTCTCGTTTCTACAAACTTTGTATGTCTCTCTGGACAGTAGAAACGAAAACCTTTTGACTTTTCTAGGTAGCCAAACAAATGGCAACTTACTATTTTGGGTTAAATACTTTAGCCTCAGCAGGACCCCCCACACACACGCAAGTGGTTTAGTGAGGGTACTATTTCTGTTCACAACTCATAGGGTGTTTTGGGCACCAACTTACTTAGTACTCTATTGAGAATATGAATGTCGGTTTTAACGCCTCCATCCACAGGCTCAACTGTAAGGTGGAGTAACTTATCATATTGCCCACCATATCCATCAGGGTGCGATTGATTCTTTTAGCTACTCTATTCTGCTGAGGTTCGCCCGGTGTAGAATACTGGGCTACTATGTCATTCTTTTAGGGTATGTCGACCGTAGTACTCCCCCACGGTCAGACCTGACTATCTTAATATTTAATATCTTAAATTTATCCAATACATCTTTTCTTTCTTTGATTGGATAAATATAGCCATAATGGGAGTAATCATCTGTGAATGTTATGAATGGATCATAACCATCCACACTCTTTACAGGAAAGTTGACCACAGATGTCTGTGTGAATAATCTATAAAATTCCTGCGCTTCGTTTATCATCTTTCTTAATCTTCTTTACATACTTTCCTTTTATGCATTCCCTGCATTGTTCTTAATCTGAGAGCTCTAATGGAGGAAGAATATCATTCTTAACTTGTCTTTCTATTCTCCCCCTCGAATATGGCCTAAACGATAGTGCCATAATTTCAACAACACATCGTGAGCTCTCTTATGCCACCATTTACAAAGTAACACTCTATCACCAGCTGCTTTATCAGCTGAGTAGCATATGTCTTTGAAGAGCCAGTGAACTGACTCTTTATTCTATTGAGGTACTCGGTGACTGTGTCACACTCTGGAATTGAGCCCACAATTGCAGGTTCAATCATGTTCTTTATCACAGCCAAAACATTTCTTGTTGGTAGTGACCCACTTCCTATGCACAAAAGTCATAGGACTATCTTTTAGGATTCAAAATCTCTCTCTTTAGTTGCCCAAGTGGCATCATTCTTTTTTTTGTCTCCCTCACTGGTGCCACAAACTCAGTGAAACACGGTGAGGTGACTACCCAGTCCACCTTAGACAAGATGAAAACTAGGTCAAAACTTTTCTTATCATAAAAATAACACCATTTGCATTACTTGATTCCAAAGTTGATCAAAATCAAAACATACAATTATTCTTATACACTAACTCTACATCACCGTTGGGCAGAAATAAAATTAATGCATAAATCATTAACTTTCACAAATGTTCTTACACACTAATTCTACATCACCGTTGGGTAGAAGTAGAATTAATGCATAAATCATTAAAATTAACATCTGTTCTTATACACTAATTCTACATCACCGTTGGACAGAAGTAGAATTAATGCATAAATCATTAACATTATGATATTATTATTAACAACGTTGGTCAGAAAATAACAACATCATAATCAAATCAAAACTCTTTTTCTCTAATTAAATACCACATTGGTTCAAAATAACTGGTGAATCAACAATTTCTTTAGCAACGGAAAAACTTTCTTTTTCTTCAATTAAATATTACGTTGGTACAAATTAACTGGAGAATAAACAATTTCTTTGGCTATGGAAAAATTCTCTTTTCCTTGAATTTTACCCACAGGGAAAATTGCTTTTTCTATTTTCTTTAATCCATTAATCAATTTCCAGGAAATAAACATTTACTGGAAAAACTTTCTTTTTCTCCAGTTAAATATCACGTCGGTGCAAAATTCACATGATCATCACATCTCACTGACAATGTTTAAGAGCCCGGCTGAATTAAGATTTTGCTTAGGTACATATACATAACACCATCAGTAGCACCAACTACTATTGTTTAAGTGGAAGATAAATTTACCAGTGAATTATTTTGGCAATCACCAGCTTCATACAACTTTGGAATGTACATTATTCCTGACTTTTTTTATCATGAAATACAATTCGTTAGGTTCCCTCCAAGATTCAAATAAACATTCCTGTGTATCATGACTTCACTATTTCTCAAATCATGAACCATTCTCTTTTGTAGCGCTACAAAATTACCATAGCAACGCGCGGGGTATCATCTAGTACATTTAACATGCTGTGTATATTTTAGTCGATTGTGAAGAGGTGGAAGAGTTGCGGTTGCTGGATTTGGCTAGGCGCCCACTACTGATAAGTCTTTACCTGATACAAGACATTGATGCTTCAGATCTCTGTTTCATGTACCTGTTCTTATTGTGTTTTATGTCTGTGTATAGGATGGACAAATCGAAGACTGTTTACTATGGTTTGTGTGATATGTAACTTTTTTGCGCATCTGTCACCTGCAACTATTCGTATTCAACAGTACCTGCATCGGAGCTGGCTAACTTGATTAGCCAAGAAATGGTGAGTAAATCATACCTTTTTTGTTGATAGAAGTGTAAACGAACTTGGATCAAATCATTGCAAGAAACAAGTAATGGGCTAATGGCACAGTCAGTTCAAGATTTAGTTACCATTTTAGGTTATATCTGGAAGGGCGGGCTTGGTGCAAGCGGTAGAGTCTTACCGCCTGTGACCGAAAAGTCCCGGGTTCGAGTCGCGGTCTCCTCGCATTGCACAGGCGAGGATAAGGCTTGCCACTAACACCCTTCCCCAGACCCCGCACAGAACGGGAGCTCTCTGCACTGGGTACGTCCTTTAGGTTATATCTGGCTAGCTCAAGTCCACTGAAATGCCATGGTTACAGGGCTTACTCCTGAAGTGTTGTTTGTGCTTTATTGCTTTCGTCTGCTATGTCATGTCAAATTTTGCTGGTAGTAAACTTAAATGTATTTTCATCTACTCTGAATTCTTGATTCATGTGTGTGATTAATGTTGTTATATATCCATGATAGTAGTATCCTTTTGTAATTGTCAGGTTCATCTATAGCTTTTGTAAGAGGCGCATATTTCTGTTACCAACAACATTATTCTTTTTATACATGCAGCACCTGATTATTGCATAAATGAGAAAGTTGTTGGGATAAATTGCAAGACAACGTGATGGAATGCAATAGAGAAGAAGCCGTAAGGGCTAGAAGAATTGCTTTAAAGAAGTTGGAGAAAAGAGATTTTTCTGGTGCCCAAAGGGTTGCACTTCAGGCTCAAAGGCTTTATCCAGAGCTTGAGAATCTATCCCAGTTGTTAACTGTCTACAAAGTGTACTGTGCGGCTGAGGCAAAGATCAACAGACAGTTGGACTGGTATGGTATCCTTCAAGTACAGGTAACAGCGGATGACACTGTGATAAGGAAGCAATATGATGAACTTGCATTCTGGCTTCATCCCAACAAAAATACTATGCCTTGTGCTGAATCTGCTTTCAAGTTGGTTTCAGAAGCTCAGATGATATTGTCTGATCATGTGAAGCGATCTCGCTATGACATCAAACGACAGACTGTTGGGCTATCAGACATAACTCTTGGAAAAAGATGTCATGTGGGGCCACGCCTATACAAGAAAACGGCGCGCCCGGGGTGGCCGCAGAGCCACTGAGGATTTGGGCGCGGTCACCATGTAGGCAGGCGCGCCAGCTGAAGATATGGGCGTGGCCACCAGGCATGCAGATCAGGAAGAAATGCCAAGTGACTAGAAGGAAATAACAGCCGATCAAGGCCTTAGAATTAGGAGCAATTAGCTCCAATTTGTAGTGCCGAATGGCCTATATATGAGAATACCCAGGATGGTTAATAATCAAGCAAGAATTAGTACATAATCTCTCTTCTTCTTCCTCTGAACCGACTGGGAGCTGAGGGGAAAAACCTCGCCCCGTTATCACGGATCGCGGCTACGAACTCCGTAGCTGGGGTCCTGCTTCTCTCGGACCCGACGTTCTTGACAACCTGGTATCACGATCCAGGCCTTCCTCGCCTAGCCGATCATCCTCGCCTCCGCCGCCGCTTCGAGCTACTTCCGCCCCGCCCACCCCTCACCAAGCCGCTATCATGGGAGACCGGGAGGCCGCCCTATAGGCTACTCTGGACGCCCTGGCCGCCACCCTCAAGTCTCTGCAGGCATGAGTCGATGCCAACTCTCAGGCGATCCAACGCCTGAACGCTGCCCAGCCGACGTCGTCTTCCTCTAGCAACAAGTCCGCCACCGGGGAGCACCACCAGGACCGGCCGCCACGGTTCCAGAAATTGGATTTTTTGCGGTATGACGGCAAATCTGATCCGCTCATCTTCATTAACCGCTGTGAATCCTACTTCCACCACCAGGGCATCATGGAGGAGGAGGAGGTTTGGATGGCCTCCTACAATTTGGAGGAAGGTGCCCAAATGTGGTACATCCAGATACAGCAGGACGAGGGAATTCCATCGTGGCGCCGCTTCAAGGACCTGCTGCACCTACGCTACGGACCTCCTCTGCGCTCGAACCCGCTCGGCGAATTGGTGGCGTGCAAGCGCACGAGCACCGTCGCAGAGTACCAGGATCGCTTCCAAGCGCTCCTCCGTCGCGCGGGCCGCCTGGACGAGGAACAACGGGTCCAACTCTTCACCGCGGGCCTCCAACCGCCGCTCAGCTTCGACGTCGAGGTGCATAATCCGCAGTCCCTCGCCGGAGCTACGGGAGCAGTACGCGGCGCCTCCACCTCGCGCGGCGCCCCGAGCACTCTTACCGACGCCCGTGAACAACTCGACCGCCCCGGCCACAGTCACCGTGGAGGGTCGGCTGGTCAAACGCCTCACCCAGGCCGAGCAGGAGGAACGCCGTCGCTTGGGCCTCTGCTACAATTGCGACGAGAAGTTCGACCAGGGGCACAATCGGGTCTGCAAGCACCTTTTCTTGCTGGAGGGCGTTGTGGAGGACGACGAGGACGTTGAAGAGGGCGCCACCGAGACGAGCCCCCACTTCTCGCTCCATGCCATCGCCGGCGTCCACTTCAGCGACACGATGCAAATCTAGGTCGCGCTAGGCGACACGTCTCTCATCGCACTCCTTGACTCCGGATCGACCCACAATTTCATCTCTGAGGCAGCCGCACAGCGCACACAACTTCCTCTGCAGCACCGTCCTCACCTGACGGCCACGGTGGCCAATGGCAAGCGCTTCTCCTGCCTGGGCATCATCCGCCAGGCCGCGCTCACCATCAGCGGCGACACCTTCACCGCAGACCTGTTTGTCATGCCTCTCGCCAGCTACGACGTGGTCCTCGGCACGCAGTGGCTCGCGTCGCTGGGGCCGATCCTCTGGGATTTCCACGCCCGGACGATGACATTCAAGCGACATGCGCGTGACGTCTGCTGGCACGGGATGGAAGGCCCTAACGCACCCGGCCTCCGCGCAACTACTGCCAGCGCCACCTTGCTGGACGAGCTCCTCGACTCCTTCTCCGACGTCTTCGCCGAGCCCCACGGGCTGCCTCCTCCCCGCAGTCGAGACCACAACATCACCCTCCTGCCCGGATCATAGCCCGTGGCGGTCCGCCCCTACCGGTACCCGGTGACGCACAAGGACGAGCTAGAGTGGTAATGCGCCGCCATGCTGGACCATGGGCTCATACGCCGGAGCTACTCGGCCTTCTCTTCCCCGGTCCTCCTTGTCAAGAAGGCCGACGGGTCGTGGTGTTTCTGCGTCGATTACCGCGCCTTGAACGCGATCATCGTCAAGGATGCTTTCCCCATCCCGGTGGTTGATGAGTTGCTGGACGAACTCCACGGTGCCAAGTTCTTCACCAAGCTGGACCTCCGCTCGGGCTACCACCAGGTCCGCATGTGCCCCACCGACATCGCCAAGACGGCATTCCGCACACACGACGGCTGTACGAGTTTCTGGTGATGCTGTTCGGGCTGTGCAACGCTCCGGCCATGTTCTAAGCGCTAATGAACGACATCCTGCGCCCTTTCCTTCACCGGTTTGTGCTCGTGTTTTTTTATGACATCCTCATCTACAACTTATCTTGGGCGGATCACCTTCGGCACCTCCGTGCCGTCCTCACCGTGTTGCAGCAGCACCGGCTCTTCGTCAAGCGTTCCAAGTGCGCTTTTGGGGTCACCTCCATCTCCTACCTGGGGCACGTCATCATCGATGCCGGCATCGCCATGGATCCCGCCAAGGTGCAGGCGGTCCGTGACTGGCCCCAGCCACGCTCGGCGCATGCAGTATGGGGCTTCCTTGGCTTGGCGGGGTACTACCGCAAGTTCGTCCATGACTACGGCACCATTGCGGCTCCCCTCATAGCGTTGTTAAAGAAGGAGGGGTTCCGCTGGACCCCCGATGCCACCGTGGCATTCCAGGCCCTCAAAACCGCTGTCACCTCACCTCCGGTTCTGTCCCTACCGAACTTCGATAGGCCATTCGTTGTCGAGTGCGATGCGTCGACCCACGGTTTTGGGGCAGTGCTCATCCAGGAGAAACACTCGATCGCCTACTTCAGCCGGCCCATCGCGCCGCGACACCGTTCCCTCGCCGCCTACGAAAGGGAACTGATCGACCTCGTCCACGCCATCCATCATTGTCGTCCGTATCTCTGGGGACGCCGCTTCCTGGTGCACACGGACCACTACAACCTCAAATTTCTCCTCGACCAGCGCCTCGCGACGATCCCACAACATCATTGGGTCGGCAAGCTCCTCGGGTTCAACTTCACCGTTGAGTACAAGCCTAGCGCTACGAACACGGTGGCCGACGCCCTCTCACGCCGCGACACTGAAGAGGGCACTGTCCTCGCCATCTCCGCGCCTTGGTTCGACTACATCGAGCGCCTCCGCCAGGCTCAGGACACCGATTCGGCCCTCGTCGCCATCAGGGACGAGATCACTGCAGGCACCCGGGCGGTGCCGTGGTCCCTCATCGATGGCATGGTGGCCTATGATTCCCGCCTCTACGTTCCACCGGTGTCACCACTACTGCCGGAAATCATGACCGCCGTGCACAAGGACGGCCATGAGGGTGTGCAGCGCACCGTGCACCGCCTCCGCCGCGACTTCTAGTTCCCCAACATGCGCCGCATGGTCCAGGACTACGTCCGAGCATGCTCCACCCGCCAGCGATACAAATCGGAACATCTTCATCCGGCTGGCCTGCTCATGCCGCTGCCGGTCCCGAAGGCGGTCTGGATCGACATCGGTCTGGACTTCGTGGAGGCGCTGCCGCGCATTGGGGGAAATCTGTCATCCTGACGGTGGTTGATCGCTTCAGCATGTATTGCCACTTCATTCCCTTGGCTCACCCGTATTCTGTAGAGTCTGTGGCCCAGGCTTTCTTCACCGACATCGTTCAACTCCACGGCATGCCTCAATCGATGGTGTCCGACCGTGATCCGGTGTTCACTTCCAAGTTCTAGAGGGAGCTGATGCGCCTCATGGGCTTCAAGCTACACATGACAACGGCTTTTCATCCATAATCGGATGGCCAGACAGAGGCAGCCAACCGCGTCATTGTCATGTACCTATGCTTCACCGGCGACCGGCCCCGTCAGTGGCTTCGCTGGCTGCCGTGGGCGGAATACATCTACAACACGGCCTATCAAACTTCGCTCCACGACACGCCGTTCCGGGTGGTCTACGGCCGGGACCCGCCTACCATTCGGTCCTATGAGCCGGGCGAGACTCGTGTCGCTGCCGTCGCCAAGAGCATGGCAGACTGCTACGAGTTTCTAGAGGACGTCCGCTACCGGCTTGAACAAGCCTAGGCGGTCGGTCGCACTACGACAACAATTGCACCAAAGAAGTCTCCTCACGGTGGGCGGCCGGTTCTACTCCGCTTCACGCCATCGCCCGGCCGCCTCACGCCCCAGCGACCACGGGGGAAGCTGAAGCCTCACTTCTTGGGCCGTATCACTGTCACCGAGCTCATCAATGAGGTTGCCGTCGCCTCACCTTGCCTCCGCACACTAGGTCGCGCACGCGTCCTTCCACATCGGCCTCCTCAAGAAGTTCATCGGTGATCCGCCACCACTACACCACCACCTCTTCCGGTCATCCACAACAACGCCATCGCTTGGAGCCCGAATGGGCGTCTTGATCCGCTTGGCTCATGGCGTTCGACAAGTGCTCATCCAATGGAAGGGAGAAACCGCGGCCTCTGCAACCTGGGAAGATGTGGACTCCTTCCTCCACAAGTACTCTGAGTTCCAGCTCGAGGACGAGCTGCTAGTCGAGGGGGGGGGGAGAGATGTCATGTGGGGCCACGCCTATACAAGGAAACGGCACGCCCGGGATGGCCGTAGAGCCACTGAGGATTTGGGCGCGGTCACCATGCAGGCAGGCGCGCCAGCTGAAGATATGGGCGTGGTCACCAGGCATGCAGATCAGGAAGAAATGGCAAGTGGCTAGAAGAAAATAACAGGCGATCAAAGTCTTAGAATTAGGAGCAATTAGCTCCAATTTGTAGTGCCGAATATATATGAGAATTTTTAGGATGGTTAATAATTAAGCAAGAATTAGTATCTAATCTCTCTTCTTCTTCCTCTGAACCGACTAGGAGCCGAGGGAAAAAACCTCGTCCCGTTACCACGGATCGCAGCTACGAACTCCGTAGCCGGGGTCCTGCTTCTCTCGGACCCGACGTCCTTAGACAAAAGAAGTGGGGGGCTAGACATGTACAACCATATGATTGTGCAATTGTTTTCTGGACCGTATGTCCACACTCTCAGAAGCAATTTGTCTACTACCAGCGGAACTTTTTGGCCATCTGTGATGACTGTGGCAAAAATTTCTTTGCGTTTAAGTTGAGTGAGCAGGCTGTGCCCTCGAGATTCCTATCAGTTGCACCTGATAATTCTCAAGTTTCACTAAAATTGGTTTCATGTCAACAACGCGGTGTCCCTGATCAATTGATACAGTACACTGAGCTTCGTTCTACAGGAGGGAGCATGGATTCCGAACCAAGAGTGCATTCCACATGTACTGATGTTGTTGTCAACCAGAACTTTGGTAGAGAAGATACATCTACAGTGCCAAATGCTGCAGGGTCATGCAATCTTCAGATGTTAGGCAAGAGGAAGCATGATGATTGTGCTGACAGTGGCCGCAGGAGGGACTCTTGCATCAATAAGAGGCAAAGTAAGGACAATTCACTTTCTGATGCTAATTCCACTGCTGATAAAATGTATAATGATGATGTTGTTGTCGCTAACTCTCAAGCTGCCAAACATGTTCCTGACACCCGACTGGGTTCCTTCCAGTAAAGATCGTCCTGCCCACTATGCCATTGGCGAGATCAAGATGTGTACTGAAGCCACCACTCTGTTTGCTTTCCTGACCAAAGTCGATGACCACCACTGTGTTCAAGCCTGATGTGCAGTAGGGAGCACTGGAGATAAGAAGGAAAGAGAACCTGAGATTTTCTCATCGGATACCATCATTCCGCCTGACAAAAGAGAATGATGGCAAGCTCCATGGCTTTTATGAGCTTGACCCTGCTGCTATTCCTGACCTTCTTCTTTAGGAAGGATCTTGCCTGAATCAGCTTTCGATGCCTGACTTGTCTCAAGACTGTAAGAGCAAATGTCCGAACTTCTCGGATGTTTTGTCCGCTTGAACTTATCAGCCGGCTTATCAGCTAGTCTACGGTATTTTTCTCTCACAACAAAACAGTTTCAGCCGACTTATCAGCCGGCTTTAATATCAGCCAAACAGGCGACCTATTCATGTATCCAGAATCATGCTATTTTCTGTTGCTATGTATCCTCCTCTGTAGTAGACATGTCATGTGGAAAGTAAATTGAATTGTAGCAGTACTAGTACAACCTAACGTTCGAATCTGCATGACCAATTTCAACAACATACCATGACCAAGGAGATGAATCAAGGCTGTGTCCTTATCAAAATTCTATAAGGTCCGTTTGGATCCCTTTATTTTGGAGGAACTAAAATCTATTTAATGGATTAGACTATTTGCTTAGAATTTGAGATTCCATAATTTTACAAAGTTCACATATAAGCCCATCTCAAATTCATAGGGTGTGAGATAAAAATTGATTTTATAGATCACCGTGTTACATTTCTACTCCGCAACTTGGCAAAATATCTAGTGCAAACCACATCCTTGGTGCAATCAATGAAAACCACATTAAAACCATACTTAGAAGTTTTCAAAAAGATTAAAACTATGCACACCAATAGCGCATCTGTAGATGTGCATTGTCTGCATTGTCACAAAATTTGAGATTCAAACTCGTTTTGCAAAAATGAAAATAACAAATTTCAGTGACAATGCACATCTACATATGCGCTATTGGTGTGCATAGTTTCATTTTTTTTGAAAACTCCTAAGTATGGTTTTGCAAAGGATTTTTATGATTACACCGAAGATGTGGTTTGCACCGAATATTTTGCCGGCATGCTCTTCAACTTACTTTTCTATAGTAGAAATGCAACATATAAACATCTCGTTTGCATAGCTAATAATAGTATACAATATATTTCATATATAACCATATTAGTTTAATTAATATGTGCATGAATTATAATTTATCTGAATGAATTCAATTGCAAGATCCAAACTTAAGTGTTTCTAGAACATTTGTATAGTATTTTTGTAGGGGCAAAACCAAAAGTGCCAAATGTTTTATAATAATGATGTGGTGTCAGGTGTTTGAAAATTTGAATGTGAAATGACATGTTTTGTTAAGAAAAAAAATTGCTAGGACGGTATGTTTCTGACACAAAGGTAGAAATTTAAATGACTTATGACTTGAGGAGTTTTTTCCCCGAAGATCACGGAGTATTTAGTTTAATAACCACACCATTTGTTCATTTACGCCGTGTTTAGTTTAATAACCACACCATTTGTTCATTTATTTATGTTACACAGTTTGATGGGAAATTACGAGACGAACGTTTTAAGCCTAATGAGTCAATGTTTGGAGTCCTCTGTTTCAAAAATCCAAATTTTAACTAAACAAGGGCTTATTTTGTACGGCGATTCCTCTGTCCTCTTGTACGGCGATTCGTACTCACACATCTGCCATTTCGCATCGGCCAGAACTTCGAAACCGGCGCCGCCGCCCCGCCGCATCTCCCGCCGCCGACCAGATCCTTCCGCCTCCCACTCCCCGACGCGGTCGCGCCAACTCCACCTGCACCCTCACGACCTCGTCTCCGCGGGCGCACATGATCACGCGGTCAAACCCCAGAGGCAGAGAGACCCAGCCCTCCCGCTCGGCTAGCAAGTACTACTAGCAGCAGCAACCCAATGCTGTGCTCCTCCCACCACCCCTCCAACCTCCTCCTGCGCGCACAAGTCAACTCCCGCCTGCGGCCGCCGCCCCCACGCCGCCCCCCATGGCTCGTTCCGCTCCCGCTTTCGTCGCCGTCTTTCTCCTCGTCCTCGCGCTCCTCACCCTGGGCGCGGCGCAGGGCCAACAGCCCTTCCCGCCCACCGATCCCTCCGATGGTATCGATTTCTCGCTCCTTCTGCGGTGTCTGAAGTTGTGTAATGGCGACGAGAAAGTTGGCAGCTAGTAACTCGTGGATCTCGCGTTCCTGCAGCGGAGGCCCTGCACGCTGTGTTCCGGCAGTGGCGACTGGAGGGGGAGGCGGCGGCGGAGAACCCGTGCATGAAGCGCGTCTGGTCCGGGTCGTTCGAAATAAACGCGTCTATCGACTGCAATTGCCCCACCTTCAGCCGGTGCCGGATCACGGGCCTGTGCGTCGTCTTCACTCTTTCTCCCATTTGATGCTGATGCCTATGTGTACCTGGGATTGATGTGTGGGTCTGGAATCTCCGGATGGTGCAGGAATGTGACTGGGTACAGGAATATCACGGAGATCCCGCTGGCTCTCTTCAATTTGACAGAGCTTGTCTCTCTGTGAGTTTTTGAATCGATGGTTCATGCTGTACAATTGCAAATGCTTTAGTGAGCTTAATGTTAGATTAAAATGGTTTGTTGAAGTAATGACTAATGACTACCCTCTCTGCAGCTTGAAATTGCACCACAACAAACTACTTCAGAATATATCCGAGTTTACTTAAAAAGAGTAGGCCTATAACTAAGATTTTCATGAAAATATGGACTTGTATACTTGTGCTAACATCCAGTGTTCTACTGCCCAGAGGAATATACCAGACATGAATGTACCTATGGTCATTGTTAGCTTTGGTACTTTTTAGTATTTTGGTATCTCAGATATCCATGTAATACATAGCATCTAATTGAAAAACTACCTGATCTCATCCTACCAAACTGTTAGTATACATGACAGAAAGCTTGTCTACCATGACTCCATCCTATCCTAATTTAGTTGTCATTTTAGCTCTATTGGAGCAACGTACTTTGCTCCTACGAATTGTACCATAGATTCTCCAACAGTATAACACCACTGCCATTCTACTGAGAAGCAATGAGTAGGGCTATTTCGTGGAAAGTGTTGCCTCGGACAACCAAACTGACAAGTATTTGCTGGTCAAATGCACTTTCAATTATAACACTTGTTTTGGACCTAAGGCTACCATTTTTAAGCTCTACCAGCTTTATTATCACCCTGCTTTTCCCCCCTACCCTTGATTGTCAATATGGTTCTATGCATTCTCTTGTGAGAATAGAAATTTCAATATGATTGTAAGTCGCCTCCTATTTCATTTTGTAGGGATTTAAGTAATAACAACTTGAATGGTTCAATACCCCCAGAAGTTGGCAATCTTTCCAAACTGGAAACATGGTGATAACCGTACTTGCTCCCCTAAATATAAGCCTGTACATGTTATTTAGCTCTTCATTGAGCCATTGTTGTTGTATTATTTCTAGAATGTATGTATTGATGGTCCATCTTGCTGAATGCTATTAACTTAACTTACTGCTAACAGAATGATTAAAGTTTTCCTACTTGATTGGGCCACAATAGTACAACACTACATCCCTGCCATGCATCTATAACAGCTGCAGACATGATATATAGCTGATAAGCTGAATACAATAAGTGATTCTTTATCTAAAAAATGTATGCTTATTCTGCTTTCTCTATCTCAAATCTAGCCTAGCCTGGCTCAACTTGCTTAGCAAATTGTTGTTGTCTATCTCAAGTTAGAGTGAAACTTTGTGATATTAGCTTAGCAAATTTCAAATAAAATAATATCCTACATCCTTGACCTGGTGTCTATAATATCCCATGATCAGATTGTAGCTGTATTAGTTTAGCTGGTGTAATTCAAGTAACTAGTCTGTGAACTGTGATGCAATAGTGGATGCTTACGTATAAATTGTATATCTTATGAGAAGACTTAACCCTTCTAGGCTAGCACTCAAGCCTTCTTAATTTCAAAATTATTTGTCAGCAAAGATATTTGATCTTCTCATAGAGTCATAGCTGATTGAATGCTCTCCATATAGCTAGGCACTTCAACAATAACAATCTCAGTGGATCTTTTCCTCATGAATCATCACTTTTAAGAAATCTAAAGTCCCTGTAAGTGCGCCTTATGTCCCTTTGTTTTCTATATACTCAGTAACCTTCTATCTTAGCCAATTTGAAGAAAGAATAACTAATCTTGTGGTTGATTATGCAGGTGGATATTTGATAATAATGTCGAAGGGCTTATTCCAGAATTTATTCAGAACTTAACCAGTCTCACAGACTTGTACGCATAACCACTTGGTTTGTTGTTGTTAGGAACAGCTCCTTCCTTTCCAATCTTTGAGATCTAATGCCGTGATCTTGCTAGGCGTATATATGGGACGAAACTTCAAGGACCTATCCCAAAAATTTTCTCAAATTTGACCAATCTAGAAGTCTTGTAAGTCACTCTAATGGTTACTTCTGTTAAATAATATCCCCTCCATTTATTTTGAATTTCATTGCTGTGGTAAATATTGGAGTCAATGTATTTAGAAGTTAGTCATCTGATCTGGAGAAATTCTTATCTGTTGTTGAAGAAAAACATCATTATTGTTTGGTAGAAGTAGAAGCCACCAATATTATTGTAATAGCAATATGTAGCATATACCGCCATCTTTGATCTGAATTTCCTTTCAGGATGCTTGGTGATCTTGGTGGCAACCATTCTTATTTTGATGTCATAGGAGAGTGGGCAAACCTTTCAACGTTGTATGTCAAGTTTCACCATACTCTTAATGAATTATAGCATAGTAGCGATTAATGCAGTTACTGGATGCTTTCTTTTTATTATGCAGATCTCTGAGGAAGTGTGGGCTCACAGGCCAACTTCCCAATACTCCCCCAAACTTGC